AACAATAGTTTATTTGAGGATTTTCAGTCAGGATTTAGAGTTCATCACAGCACAGAGACAGCTCTGGTTAAAGTTAATAATGACCTTCTGACTGCTTCTGACAATGGACTTGTCTCTGTACTTGTATTATTAGATCTTAGTGCTGCATTTGACACCATTGACCATGATATTCTTTTACAGAGACTTGAGCATCAAATTGGCATTAAAGGAACCGCACTAAGCTGGTTTAAGTCATACTTATCAGATCGTTCGCAGTTTGTACATGTTAACGATGATTCTTCAATAAATACTACAGTTAGTCATGGAGTTCCACAAGGTTCTGTACTTGGACCAATACTATTTACTTTATATATGCTCCCTTTAGGCAACATTATTAGGAATCACTCCATTAACTTTCACTGTTATGCAGATGATACACAGTTATATCTATTGATCAAACCCAATGAAATTAATCAATTATCTAAATTACAAACATGTCTTAAGGACATAAAATCCTGGATGAGCTGCAATTTTCTGATGTTAAACTCAGAAAAAAACGAAATTCTTGTTCTTGGCCCCAAAAACCTTAGAGACTCACTGTCTAAAGATATAGTTACTCTAGATGGCATTACCTTGGCCTCTAGCACCACTGTCAGGAATCTTGGAGTTATCTTTGATCAGGATTTTGTCTTTTAACTCCCACATAAAGCAGACCTCTAGGACTGCCTTCTTTCATTTATGTAATATTAGAAAAATTAGACACATCCTATCACAGACAGATGCAGAAAAACTAATCCATGCATACTTCAAGGCTGTCTCTCTCACTCACCCCAACTGGTCGAGACAGACGACCACCCACCTAGAGCCGAAGGATCTGTCCTAGGTTTCTGCCTTTTAACAGGCAGTTTTTCCTTGCCCTTGTCGCGAAGTGCTTGCTCATGGTGGTACTGTTGGGTCTCTGTAAATAATGTTATAAAGTGTTCGGTCTAGACCAGCTCTATTTGACAAGTGTCTTGAGATAACTTCTGTTATGGAATGGCGCTATACAAATAACTATTCAGTATATAGTCTATATATATATTAATACAGTGTTGTATATAATTTTTACTTTACAGTGTATATAATCTGTATATATTTATACATATTAACACAGTGTTCAGTATATAGTCTATATATATTAATACAGTGTTCAGTATATAGTCTGTATATATTAATACAGTGTTCAGTATATAGTTTGTACATATATATATTAATAGTGTTCAGTATATAATCTGTATATATATATTAATACAATGTTCAGTATATAGTCTATATATATATATATATATATTAATACAGTGTTCAGTATATAGTTTGTACATATATTTATTAATACAGTGTTCAAACATAAACAGGATGAGGAGACAGGAAGTGTGTCTGATCAACATCCTCTTTTTCACTCACACACACTCTGCACGTGTTTTACAGCCACTTTAATGTCTTTTGTTAAAAACACACAGAAATATATACATCCTCAGAAATCACACATTAGCATCTTTTAGCAGTGCTGTTAGCATCTCCTCGCACTGTCTGACAGTAACAGAGTTTCTTTCTTGTGTAAACAAACAAACAAACAGTCACATTAATGTCAAACGTTCAACCTACTCCTTACTTCCTCTTTGTGATGCGTTTCCTGTTTGAGCAGGATGATACAACACAGTGAACATCTGTCAACAGCAGCCAAAAATCACATTGTGTCGGTAAAACAGATTCACATTCAATATACAGGAAAGTCCTGGAAAGTCCTTGAAAGTCCTGGAAAGTCCAAGATGCTTTCAGGATGTTATTGGAAACACACAAACATCCTAATATGTTTTACGTTTGTTTGACTTTGAAAAACAACCACATCAGGTGCCCGATTAGCTCAGTCGGTAGAGCTGGCGACTCACATATGGAGTTGCTGCAGCGGCCGGGGTTCAAATCCAACCTGCGGCCCTTTGCTGCGTGTCATCACCTCTCTCTCTACCTACCTTTCCTATCTATCTTCAGCTGTCCCTATCTAATAAAGGCATGAAAAGGCCAAACATGACAAAAAGAAAAGAAAAACCAACCACCCTCAAAAAACACCTTATTTTGAAAAGCCCAGTATGGAGGAAGTAGCCGCAGTCTCTACAGCGACAGCGCCTGCGAGGTGTCGCTGTCTGACATCACAGTGGCTCTGGTGGAGCTCAGTGGGCTCCTGCAGCTCTTACTCAGCTGGCTCTTATTGGCTGGCTGGCAGCGGCAGCTGTGCAGCAGCTGCAGCACGTCGCGGCGGAAGCGCACGCCCACGAAGGCGTACAGGAAGGGGTTGAGGCAGGCGTGCATGTAGGCCAGACCCTTAAGCAGCTGGCCCGCCTTGTCGAAGCGCTTCATCTCCTCGCAGTCCGTCATGGTCATGTTGGTGGCCTGCGCTGCCTCCATCACCAGCACGCCGTTGTACGGCAGCTGAGACGCGACGAACGCCACCACCACGGCCAGGATGACGCGCATGGCCTTGTGCTTCTGGAAGTTTCGGGTCTTGAGCAGCTTGGCGACAATGATGCTGTAACAAAAGGCCATGACGATGAAGGGCAGGCAGAAGCCCATGCTCACCTGCAGTGACAGCACCAGGATCTTGGTGCGGTTGCCGAGGTCAGTGGGGAATACCATCCTGCAGTACTGCTGCGAGTCCACCGTGGCGGTGGTGGCAAACACAAGCTCGGGCACAGCGAGCAGCAGGGCCAGCAGCCACACCCCCGTGCACACCAGCAGGCTGCAGCGGCGGCGCTCCGCCTGCGAGTTCTGCGCCTTGGTGGTCTGCACGATGACCACATAGCGGTCCACGCTGATGCAGGTCAGCAACAGCATGCTGCTGAACAGGTTCACCTTGTAGACGGCCGAGTTCAGCTTGCAGACTGCGGTGCCAAAGTTCCAGCCGTGTGACGCTTCAGCCGCCCACAGCGGCAGCGTGACAAGGAAAAGCAGGTCGGCCACCGCCAGGTTCAAGAGGTACACGTCTGTCATCGTCTTCAGCCGCCGCCGGAAGTTCAGGTAGATCCACACCACCATCATATTCCCGACTCCACCCACCAGAGCAATCATCCAGAAGAGTGGTGGCTCGTAGCGACTCCTGAACTCTCGCACCGACTCCCGGTCGCACAGCAGGTCGGGGTAGTCGTAGTACTCATCAGAGGTTGGTGAGGGGCTGATGGAGGACGGGTCCTGAAGGAAATGACAACACTTTCACACATACTCCTGAACACTCCTGAATACTCCTGAATTCCTGAACACTCCTGAATACTCCTGAATACTCCTGAACACTCCTGAAAACTCCTGAACACTCCCCAACACTCCTGAACACTCCTGAACACTCCTGGACACTCTTGAACACTCTTGAACACTCCTGAACACTCCCGAATACTCCCGAATACTCCCGAACACTCTTGAACTCTCCCGAACACTCTTGAACTCTCCTGAACACTCCTGAATACTCCTGAACACTCCTGGATACTCCTGAACACTCCTGAACTCCTGAACACTCCTGAATACTCCTGAACACTCCTGGATACTCCTGATCTGACTGCACATTCAGCTCATTGTGTCGACAGTTTAAGTTAAATCAGTAAATTAATAAAATCATTAATTATACAATTAGATCAATAACTGAATATCAAACATAATTGTCTGTGTGTGGGCGGGGTTTGTTACCTCGGTGGTGAACACCATTGTGATGTTATCCATTGATGTCATGGTTCTTCTTTGTTTATTCTTTGTTATGTCGATGAGGTCATCAGTGACCTTCAGAAGAAACAGAAAAGTTTTCATTATAAAAGCTGAATATTAAGAATGTTTTCAAAAGTTAATGTTAAATGTATTTATATAAATTAAGTATTTTACTATTTTCATTTACTTTGATACATTTAATAAGTAAATAAAAAAAACGTTTTAAGATTCATAAATTCAAATAAAAAATATTGAAGTAATTCTAATTATTACTATTATTACTACTTATTACTACTACTACTACTACTAAACTACTTTTAATCTTTGAAATGTGTCATATCTTATAAATAGTAATTGGAACTACTTGTACTTTGAGTATTTCCATTTCACGCTGCTTCCAATAGAAATATTGACCAGCAGTAACACTGTGAGCACTGGACTCACTGACTGGTCCCAGACCAACAGACTGCTCTGCACTGTGTGTTCTGACCCCTTTCTATCAGAACCAGCATTAACTGTTTCAGCAGTTTGAGCTACAGTAGCTCGTCTGTTGGATCGGACCACACGGGCCAGCCTTCACTCCCCACCTGCATCAATGAGCATCGCCCCCCCCATGACCCTGTCTCTGGTTCTGTTCCTTCCTTGGACAACTTTTGATAAGTACTGACCTCTGCAGACCGGGAACACCCAACAAGAGCTGCAGGTTTGGAGATGTTCTGACCCAGTCGTCCATCACAATGTGGTTCTTGTCAAAGTGGATCAGATCCTCACGATGCCCATTTTCCTGCTTCTAACACATCAACTCTGTTCACTGCCTGATATACCCCCCCACTGATAGGAGACCTGATACCCAGATAATCAGTGTTACTGGCAGTGCTCGCTGTGTTAGGGCTGATTTCTGTATTATTATAGATCAATCTATCCGCAGTATATAAAGACCAGCTGCAACATCAGTGCATCAATAATTGTATTTATATATATTGGATTTTATATTAATCTTATTGTCTTCAGAATATCATATATAATTCTGCATATTTTAACTTTTGCTACTTTCAGTGTATTTTAATGCTGATATGTTCTACACTGTTGTACTTTTACTGTAGTAAAAGATCAGAGTTCCTCTACTGCAGTTCTCATCAATAATCAGTAGATAAACATGTAATAAACTGTTAGTAACGCACTATAATGTAGCATAACGGCATTATAGTGTGTTACTAACCATTTATGATTATTTATATACAGATCATGTCAGTTCAGTCACATTAAACAAAGTTTAACAAAATGTTCTAAAGAGTAAAAATGTCCATCAATGCAGTACCAGCAGCAATAAAAGCAGAAAGTATAAACTGAGATAAATAAGATGAAATAAAGAGAAGTTTGTACAGACAGACAGACAGACAGACAGACAGGTGTGGACTCACAGTCGATGTCTCTGGGTCTCTGCAGCGACTCTCAGTTTCTGTCCGTTAAACCACAGCCACACGAAGCAGAAGTTGAACTGAGGGAGGAGCTCACTGACTCACACCCTATACGTGGCTTTAATGTTAAAATATGAAGCTCTTAAAAATTCACCCAACTGCACAAACCCTGAAGGAACAAATGAAGTTCAAAACTTCAGGAGCTGCAAATTCATTTTCATGATTTAAATGTAGTATAATTTCTCTCTCTCTCTCTCTCTCTCTCTCTCTCTCTCTCTCTCTCTCAATGACGAGTTCAAGGAACAGTTAATAAATGTTGTTTCACTGAAGTCAGAGGAGACAGTTTAATGTGTTAAATGTCATTTGCTGTTGCTTGTAGGGGGCGCTATCACTATGACTGAATATTGGCATGTACATGTCTTCATGTGGGTTTGATGCAGCTTGGACAAAGTAGACTAAAGTTATAACTGCTTCCTGTTTCCTTTGGCACCACCGTACGGACGCGCCCGATGAAAACTGAAGATTTTAATATCTTTTCATCGCGATGGTCTTTAGACTGAACTGACAGATTTATAGTGGATACGATCAATTCCTTGCGGTTCGGCAAGGATCAGTAAAAATGACCCATAAATTCAAAATGGCCGACTTCCTGTTTGTGGTCCAAGAGGCTTTGTTGTTGGTCTAGTCATGGTCTCCTACTGTGGTTCCAGCCTTACAATGTACACACTCATATAGAGACAGCTGATTAAAATCTGTGTGCGTGCATGTGGGCGGTAAACATGTAATTCTCCTCCCGCTGTGATTGAAACTGCTTCCCCTCGCTGACAGAGCCTGTAGGCGGCCATCGAAAGTCTCATCTGAGTGCTGAGCGGGAAAATCCTGGGATCAGCTGATTGCAGGTCCATTTGGTTTTATAGACAGATTGAAGAGACTATGTGGCACCACCACCACCACCACCACCAACAACAACAACAACAACAACAGGAACACCAGAAGGGTATTGCAAGAAAACCAAGATAAAGGATTAACCCGGGATATGTTGGTTATCCTGGCTGAATTTAGCCTCAAGTCGGTTGCATGAAAGCAGGTCAAACTTATCCCGGCCAAGTTACTATGGTGATTTATTCTCTGCAGCTAGCCTGCTCCAGACCAGGCTAACAGCCAGGCTAACAGCCAGGCTAACAATCTGTTGGCTGTTTGTAATTGAAACAGTCTTTTTATATTGATTCAAGTGGTAGCATTATTACTCAGGACAAGTGTTATATTGCTATGCTAATGAAGACTGCTTGTCAAAATGCCGTCAGAGGTTTCATAAATATGTGTTTATTGCAGTAATTGAGATTACAAAACACAGCTGATGAAGTTGCAAAGCTGTTTTCAATGAAATCTGTGACAAGGGCAATATATATATATATATATCTAGTACATAGTGTTTTTTATTATTTCCCTACTCTTACTGTTTATTTATACTGTTTTCTCTCTATCCACTCTGCTGCTGTTACATTGGAATTTCCCCATTGTGGGACAAATAAAGGTCTATCTATCTATCTATCTATCTATCTATCTATCTATCTATCTATCTATCTATCTATCTATCTATCTATCTATCTATCTATCTATCTATCCATCCAACTCCCATTCACCTGTTCCCTCTTCATAATGCATTTAGTCATGAAAGAGTCTTCTGGGACAGGTCAGACCCATTGGCTGTTGGAGAGGACTATCTCATTGAGAGATACAGATTCTCAGGTGATGGACTAAGATATTTATGTAGGCTGCTGGGTCCAAAAATACAGCACCAGACGGCAGGAAGCCATGCTCTCACTGTACCACAGATGGTCTGTGTTACATTGAGATGTTTTGCAAGTGGGAGCTTCCTTTATTCTGTTGGGGATGCAGAGAACCTCAATAAACGAACCATTTGCAGCACATATCCTGGCTTGGTGGGCCGCCCCCTGTGCCAGTTCTATGGGCTTTTTTTAAACTGCTACAATCATACAGACATTCAACATGTCAGCAGACACCTAATCTATTCACCTCATTCGTTCACTGTTATCTACTTTATAGTCACTGACCAGCCTGCTAAATGTTCTTGTATTTAACTTTTTTAATGTAACTTGCTGCCAGGTCCTTTTATGGCCAGACAAGTTTGTTCTTTATGAATTGTTAGCACTTAATCATACTTTACATTTCCTGAGTAACATCCACCTCTACTTGCCACATTTAAAGCAAAGTGTACAACAGTTGATTAGTGGACTTAAAGTAACTCCTTTAGTCCTTTAATTGGAGCCTAATGATGACAGTTCCAGTGGAGCACTGTTTATTAATTGTACAGTTTTGGACTACTTACGCATTAAGCCGGTCCGCTATTGTCTGCCAGGCTTTCTCTCTTTCTTTAATTATGGCATTGGTATTGCCTTTTTTTCTTATATCTTCCACCTCTTCATTGAACTCCATCAGGAGCTGTTGTTCAGCGGCCGTGAAATATGAAGCGCGACTCTTATCCATGTTCCCATCGGTGATTCTGTGAGCGATCGCGAGGTCTATTTCAGTATGCCGTGAACACGCACTTATCCCGACTATCTACACCTGGCTTAACATAGCACCTTTTAATCCTGGCTCGGCAAACGTGCAACCAATTAAGCCAGGATGTGCCGAGCAGGCTAGGTCAAGCTGCGCTTGCTCAATTATCCTGGATTTCTTTATGATTGTGTCTATGGTTGTGTTTATGGTTGTGTTTATGATTGTGTCTATGGTTGTGTTTATGGTTGTGTTTATGATTGTGTCTATGGTTGTGTTTATTTTTGTGTCTATGATTGTGTTTATGATTGTGTCTATGGTTGTGTTTATGGTTGTGTTTATGATTGTGTTTATGATTGTGTCTATGGTTATGTTTATGATTGTGTTTATGATTGTGTTTATGATTGTGTCTATGATTGTGTTTATGATTGTGCCTATGATTGTGTTTATGATTGTGTCTATGATTGTGTTTATGATTGTGCCTATGGTTGTGTTTATGGTTGTGTCTATGGTTGTGTTTATGATTGTGTCTATGGTTGTGTTGTGTCTATGGTTGTGTTTATGATTGTGTTTATGATTGTGTCTATGATTGTGTTTATGATTGTGCCTATGGTTGTGTTTATGGTTGTGTCTATGGTTGTGTTTATGATTGTGTTTATGGTTGTGTTTATGATTGTGTTTATGGTTGTGTCTATGGTTGTGTTTATGATTGTGTTGTGTTTATGGTTGAATTTATAGTTGTGTTTATGGTTGAATTTATAGTTGTGTTTATGGTTGTATTGTGTTTATGGTCGTATTTATGATTGTGTTTATGGTTGTGTCTATGGTTGTATTGTGTTTATGATTGTGTTTATGGTTGTGTTGTGTTTATGGTCGTATTTATGGTTGTGTCTATGGTTGTGTCTATGGTTGTATTGTGTTTATGATTGTGTTTATGGTTGTGTCCATGGTTCAATTCAATTCAATTCAATTCAATTTTATTTTTATAGCGCCAATTCATAACAGAAGTTATCTCAGGACACTTTTCAAATAGAGCAGGTCTAGACCGAACTCTTTATAACATTAATTACAGAGACCCAACAGTACCACCATGAGCAAGCACTTGGCGACAAGGGCAAGGAAAAACTGCCTGTTAAAAGGCAGAAACCTAGGACAGATCCTCCAGCTCTAGGTGGGTGGTCGTCTGTCTCGACCAGTTGGGGGGGTGAGAGAGAGAGAGAGAGAGAGAGAGGCAGAGAGAGAGAGAGCGAGAGAGAGAGGCAGAGAGAGAGAGAGCGAGAGACAGACAGACAGACAGACAGGTGCACAGCAACAACAGTATTGGCAATGGCAGTCAAGCAGGACCATGGCAGGAGGCTCCACCAGGATCCATGAGAACCTGCGAGACGAGAAAGCACAAGAACTCCGGGGAAGAAGTGGAGTTAGTAACATGCATTAATGGAACATGAATGAGTGCATAAAGAGAGAGGAAGGGAGGAGCTCAGTGCACCATGGGAAATCCCCCGATAGTCTAGGCCTATAGCAGCATAACTAAGGGATGGTTCAGGACACACCTGATCAAGCCCTAACTATAAGCTTTATCAAAGAGGAATGTCTTAAGCCTACTCTTGAATGTGGTGAGGGTGTCTGCCTCCCGAACCACAACTGGAAGCTGGTTCCACAGGAGAGGAGCTTGGTAACTGAAGGCTCTGGCTCCTGTTCTACTTTTAGAGACTATAGGAACCACAAGTAGCCCAGCATTCAGAGAACGTAGTGTTCTAGTGGGGTAATAGGGTACTATGAGCTCTTTAAGATATGAAGGGGCCTGACCATGAAGAGCTTTATAGGTGAGGAGGAGGATTTTAAATTCAATTCTACATTTTACAGGGAGCCAATGCAGAGAAGCTAGTACAGGAGAGATGTGATCTCTTTTTCTAGTTCCTGTCAGTACTCGTGCTGCAGCGTTCTGAATTAATTGGAGCGTTTTAATGGACTTATTGGGGCAACCTGATAATAAAGAGTTGCAGTAATCCAGCCTTGAAGTAACAAATGCATGGATTAGTTTTTCTGCATCTGTCTGTGATAGGATGTGTCTAATTTTTCTAATATTACGTAAATGAAAGAAGGCAGTCCTAGAGGTCTGCTTTATGTGGGAGTTAAATGACAAATCCTGATCAAAGATAACTCCAAGATTCCTGACAGTGGTGCTAGAGGCCAAGTTAATGCAATCTAGAGTGACTATATCTTTAGACCATGAGTCTCTAAGGTTTTTGGGGCCAAGAACAAGAATTTCGTTTTTTTCTGAGTTTAACATCAGAAAATTGCAGGTCATCCAGGATTTTATGTCCGTAAGACATGTTTGTAATTTAGATAATTGATTAATTTCATTGGGTTTGATTGATAGATATAACTGCGTATCATCTGCATAACAGTGAAAGTTAATGGAGTGATTCCTAATAATGTTGCCTAAAGGGAGCATATATAA